AGCCCAAAACCTTCCAGGTACATTCTTTTCATGTAGCATACTCCGACAAATTTCTGCAAGATGCCGGTTCTTTCTCTCCGCTACACCATTCTATTATGGCGTGTTGGCACAAGTGTACTGATGACGTATTCGGCATTCCCTTAGGTATTGAGAGAACTCGCTTGAGCTATATTCTCCCCCATTGTCTGTGCGCAAGCAACGGATCTTCTTTCCCACTTCTCCTTCAGTTGACTCTCTGAACTCTTTAAACTTTGAGAATATGTCAGATTTTTCTCTCATAAAGAAAACCCACACATACCTTGAAAAGTCATCAATGAATGTCACCATGTATCGCATACCACCAATTGGTGGTTGCTTAACGAGCCCGAATACATTAGAGTGAACTAATTCCAATGGTTCTTTTGCTTTAAACTTCGATTCCTCGTATGGCAATTGGTGTGCTTTACTATACTGGCATCCTGCACAGACTGTGTCTGTTCGCACGTCAAGTTGAGGAAGCCCCTTTAGCATTGACTTCTTCATTATCACGCTTAGCTTAGAATAACTAACGTGTCCTAGCCGCATGTGCCACAGGTCTACTGTCTCGTTCCTTCTTGTCTTGTCTACGTATGCAGACTCTGCTGACATCACGTAAACTGACTCCAATCGTCGTCCCTCCATCGTTGGCTTTTCTGAGATCTTGAAGTGTCGAAAAACCTTCACATCTTGCGGCCCAAACAGGACATAGTGGCCTGATGATGTCAATTAAGCCACAGATAGTAAATTTTTCTTCATTCCTGGAACATGGTAGACATCTTGAAGTTGTATCTGGTTAGGATTATACCGAGGTGTAACTATTGTTTTACCGATGTGTGTTATCGATAACCTTGAGTTGTCAGCTGTTACCACCACACGATTTCCCTTGTATTTGGACAAATTTTGCAACTTTTGTCTATCACCCGTCATATGATTTGAGCAGCCCGAGTCTATGATCCAATTATTCTCGTAGTCAATACTTCCTGGTATTGTTGTCGTAAGGGCTAATTCTTCTTCCTCCATAGCGAATAATGCTTCGGCATCCCAATCATTTTCGTTATTCTCCTTAGGACTGGAAGTAGCAGTATTACTTTCAACATGCTTTTTCTTGGTCCAACAATCTTTCGCCATGTGACCCATCTTCCTGCAGTTGTAACACTCACCATCGAATTTTCTGCTATTACCGCAATTCTTCGAAGCTCCCCTTGGACGAGAGCCTCCCTTTCCTTGAGAATTTTCCCTTTGTCACCATCCTTTTTAAATCCACTACCATTGTACCGCTTGAAAGTGCCTCTGCTTTTGCTGGTGTAAAGTGCTTCTTCCTCACCCTTCAGCAAGACTCCTCCCATTTGCTTAGCCATAGCTTCTTGATCAGCCAGCAAATTCTCAAACTTAACAAGAGATGGTTGTGTCGGCCATCCTTGTACAGCGGTAACGAACCCTTGATATTCGGGTCTCAAACCATGGATAATTATTCTCTTTATCCTGGTTTCCCCAATAGGAGCTGTTGGATCTAATTATGAAATTTCGCGGCATATCGACTTCACCTTGTGAAAGTACTGGGCAATCATCATGTCACGTTGTGCCATCGATAACAGCTCGTTCTCGAGAAGTTGCAGTCTTGTATCATTCTTCTTTGAAAAAAGTGTAACGAAAGTGTCCCATACTTCCTTTGGTGTTTTGGCATTCCGAATGTGCTCCAACTTTTCTTCTTCAATTGTGGTCTTTAAAGCAAACATTGTTTTGCCTGCTTTAATTTTCCACTTTTGCAAGATGCCATTGGCATCTTCTGCTGCCGGTTGTGTAACTTCATCACCACCGACAACCTCCCAAAGGTCCTGACCTTGTAGGTAAGACTCCATACATGTTGCCCACGTGTTGTAGTTTTTGTTGTTGAGCTTCTTGATTCCTCCAACTACTTGAAGGTCACCCATCGTGCCGGCAGGACTTCGACTATACCGAACAAGCTTGACTAACAAACTTGTAGAGTACCAAACTCCTCACGACTCAAGATAACTCCGCCAAGAACGATCCCTGACCGTCCCGATCTGATACCAATTGTTGAGTTAAATTTAGAGTACACAACGCTAAACTTACTAATGTTGGACCCAAACAAGTAAACAAATTACTTGTATTATACCCACAATAAAAAATACTACAACACTTTTCAAAAACCACTCACAATTTGAAGAGAAATACAAACACTCAAAAGAAAGCTCACAACTCACACTCAAGACACCACACTCAAACTAAGAATATAAAGACTTAATTTTTGGAGGATATCTAACCCAAATGCAAGGGAGGGTATTTATAGTCCTCACCATGCAATCTACACCACATAAATATAAAATTAAGAAATAATTATAACCACACATTATTATCACATTCTATACACTTCTCCTGAAAAATCTCTTTTCTATATCCTTCTATAGTTTTCTAAAAAATATATTTCTTCCACATTTGTTGGGAAGCTTCTATTGTTTTGGACTAAGATAAAATGGTTTGGGCTTTTATTTTCCTTGGGCTGAAATCAAAATATTGGTTGGGTTCTATAATGGGCTGGGGTTGATCTTCGACAGCATCTTCGATTAATGGTGTCTGTCCACCTTTATCTCGTAGATAGGCAGCTGAAGCATATCTGCTCAGCAACTATTCTATTAATTTTTTTTCTATTGCTGCTGCTGCAAAATGCAGGGCTGTATTTCCATAAATTTCAGGTTGGTTGATGAGTTTCAAATGGTCTTTTAGTCCAAGCAGAATACCAATGCTTTCTGTAGCATGACAACCGAGAAACAGATATGAGTCACAGTCAAAAGCCAATATCTTTATACAAAATTCCCTTTGTTTCTGCTTTCTTTCTCATACTTGTAAATTCTAGTCTTTTAATTGGTACTTTTGGCTTTAACATTAAAATTCGTCTTTTTCTTCTTTTTCTCTCTCTATCCTATATATTCATTTATTTGCAGTAAGATTTTAAAAAAGGTGCTTAAAAGACACTTCACTTAGCCCATATTATATAAATTTTCGTATTCAGTTGACGTCGTAGAGGTCTCAACAAATACACATCTTTAGAAAATAATTGTTGATTTAAGAATTTCATGATTTCCGAAACCATTTCCCCACAACTTGACTCAGCAGCTAAATAAAGAAGGCTCTCGCCGGTAGAAGTAACAAAGCTAGCCATTCCCTGGTCTAATTTCCAGAGGTATATAGCTACTTCCTTGTGGCCATTCCTTAAAGCCTCATGCAATGCCATGCTTTGGACAATATTTTTCATTCTCAACAACTCAATAATCCCTTCTCCCCCTCCTCTATCTCTCAAATGATAAAAACTTGACATGCCAATTGAATGAACGCTAGATGAGCAAATTTCTTCTGTTGGGACTAGTTGTTTTACTATATCAATTTGACCGGCCCTTGTTGTAACATGAAGAGGTGTATCGCCTTTCAAGTTCTTTTCACTTTTCAGGTAAGGATATCCACTGCAGCGCGCCTCAAGAACAAACGTTTTGTGTCCTAACTTCGCTGCTAGATGGATCACATTGTTCCCTCTATGTGTCGTGTGTGAATAATCGACATCTGGAATGCTATTTAGAGTTTCAATTTTTCCCTCTATAGGTGCCTTGTATATAAGCATACTGGAGTTTTCTTCCAACAGGCCACAAGGGTTTATCTTCACATTACAGATTTCTCTTGACCGGCCCTTGCTGCAACATGGAGAGTTGTTTCGCCTTTCAAGTTCTTTTCACTTTTCAGGTAAGGATATCCACTGCAGCGTGCCTCAAGAACAAACGTTTTGTGTCCTAACTCCGCTGCTAGATGGATCACATTGTTCCCTCTGTGTCGTGTGTGAATAATCGACATCTGGAATGCTATTTAGAGTTTCAATTTTTCCCTCTATAGGTGCCTTGTATATAAGCATACTGGAGTTTTCTTCCAACAGGCCACAAGGGTTTATCTTTACCTTACAGATTGCTTGGAGAAACTCAAAACACTCTCATTTATAGTTCCACCACTATATTCATATACACTCACATAGAAGTAGGAAACTACATGGACTGCTCTTGCAGCAGTCCGGTCAGCATCACAAATTAGACTGGTCCACGTCTAAGGACAATAAAAGAAAGATTCCTATTTCCAACTCTTGATATTTTCAACTTGATTTGCTCATTAGTTCCCTGAAATAAGAAATGAGTAGTAGTGAACTTGAATGTGTTGATCCTTTGGACACCAATAGCTTGATAATGCATGCAGAACTGGCAACTTGAAGCTGCTAGTTATATTCTAATCCATGTTGGAACTTACTAGAAATTGGATGAGCTGAATTCGAGGACTATAGCTTCAGCTCTCTATAGATATTTCTATTTCCTCAAATATTGGGGGCGTAAGTGTGTTTTCTCTAAATTGAAGGAAAAGTTATAAAATCTGTCCAAAGTTGTAATATTTGTGTTTGCAAGTTTCTAATATTCTATCCCCATTTATATGAAATTGGTTTCTGATGCATATTTCTCAAAACAAGCTGTGATTGAAATAAATACTATTATTAAACTCCTCCTATCCAAGAAATCCTGTTTAACAATCTAAGAATGGTAAGATTTATTGAAAGTTGAGGGTATCATAAAAATGATAAAATTTGGTAAAACTCTGAATGCTGGTGCAAAGATTTAGCAATAGATTTCTGCTACCAACTAGAAACTAGTGGCACCAGTGGCCGTGTATATATATGTATTTAAAAGGATTGTTGAAACAGTGCAGGGCTTAATATAATAGAAGTTGATTGTGCTTGACCTCGTAATCTTCAAATTTTGTCTATCAACAACAACTGGTACGTGATAACTTAGAAATATTAGTTGAGATAAAGACCATCAAATTCTCAACTGTGAATAATGTGATTAAGTTGGTTTAATACCAGTTTCTCGTTTATTAGTCCATTAAACTATAGGTTTGCATGTTTTAACTCAAAAGGTGGTTGAGATTTTCAGACATTAATGGATAAACTATATGCAACTTTCCTATTGTAATATGCAAATATCATAAATTAAGCATCTTCGCCGACCTGTAGGTCTACTCCAACACATTTTGTCAGGCTTTGACTGAGGGTTCATGGAATTGGTCATCTCTTAATTTATGTCCTACATAATTTAACAATTAACCATGTCAGCCTCTAATGAAACAACAAAATGAGCATCAATAAAGGTCTTCCAATAGACCCACTTGAATATATTTAGGAAGTTGATACAGCATCCCACCGCCATATTGCTCCATCTCGCAACAGCTTAGTATGGTGCTGCAACAAAGAATAAACAATATTTGAACACTGTACCTAATTTAGCATTAAAAAACCAATAAAAGTCAATTAGGTGTTACCTTCCGTCAAAGGACATGGCAGTCTGTCTAATTGGAAATTTCGACTGAGCATGCGATAACTAAGAATAATTAAAAAAAAAAATTGTTAAGGCCATTAAAATACAGAATAGAGTGATGGTTTTTAACACTAGGGTAAATCAATCGACAACCTTGCAATGAGAACAGGGGGGCTACTTTGCAGCTCCCATACATAAATCTTCCTTCCCTGTTCCTGGTAGAAGTAATACCGAAATGTTAAGAATCCAAAATAATTACATAGGATCTATGAGAATTAGCGCTTGTATGGGCAGGGTGCTTGATTTCAAGTTTTAAGGAATTATAAGCAATAAATCCAGTACAAGCAGCATTGGTCCAATTAACACTAAGTCATACATTAAGTATTATGTACGCATGTGTTTGAGTGTGTACATGTAAAAGAACAGGGAAAAAAAAAAAAAAAAAACCAAACCAAAGGTTATAATACCTATTGCAGCTGCATTGTAATGGAAGTCACAGGAAAACTTGATGAACCAGATATCACACTCAGGAACAGGGTATTTTTGAAGGATGTCAGCCGTTCCCTAAACAGAATAAAATCATGCAATGTTTTGAGAGCAAAAGAAAAAAAAGAAAAAAAAAAAAAAAACAATGAAAGTATTCCAATGTAAATATATTCAGTTTCTGACAAGTTCAGTGCGATAATATATAAATTAAGAAAATGGTGACTCAAAACAACCATTAAGGAATTAGTACTCTCCAGGAGACTGTTCCTTCATTTTTGGTTCCCACAACACAATTTCATTGCAACACTCTGCAATCGTGCCACACAGATACCAAATGTAAGCATTGATGGGAGTTTTAGCATTCTAAGAAACAATATACATAAATATGTCTGAAAACAATGTCAATGAATTGATCAAATTAGTTAGTGAAAAGAAGCACTATCAACAAGTACTGCCCCCAACATTAAATTTTACATTAACAAAAACTTGGATGGGGATAGCAGTGATTCACCTTTGACAGAACAAAATACCAAGCCATTGGTTCAGTCAACATAGTTTGAATGAACTGAAGCTATGAAGACCTGAAAATGATAATCTTAGTCTGAAAAAAAAAAAAAAAAAAATAGATATTTTAGCTCATCTCTAAATATTTCATAATGAAAAGAAAAATTGAAAACCTACAGGAAACTGAACTATTTTGTGGGAAATTTTGAAGGAAGATCTGTCCATGTGAAGGATTTCTCTACATATGTCCAGAACTCTGCAGAAGGAAAAAGAAAAAACTAAGATACCACAATTAAATCTGCAAACTGTAAGTCCTGCAGCCAGACTGTATAACAATCATTGAATACATGGATCTTGGATGTATCCCAACCCAGCCCCATCAGCACCAACACCAAGAGGCCAAGGGCTTGAATCTCAGATGGCATATCCAAACAATAATCCAAGATCTTTATTACGCGATCGTTCAAAAAGATGTGAAAATAAAACAATAAGGGAAAAAGTATAATTGTCGAGGAAGTCCTTGTCTTAATGGAATTATAACAGGAAATAATCTTTATACCTTTGTAGATACATCACTTGAAATATTAAATTTTACAAATTCGGAAAGTCAAGTGCTTAACAATAATCACATTGAAGAATGCTAGTATCTGTGTCCTACCTTTCATTGACCAAATCTAACAGTGTTGTCCATGCCACAATTTGCAATGCGATCTATGTCTGAAGGATGGAAGTCCTGCAACAGCCCCATAAAATCAATTCAAAATCTTCATTGTATTAGAACCACAAAGGAAGACGCAAAATTTAAACACTTACCACACTCAGAACTTCATTACGGTGACCCCGAGCTCCAGCAAATATCAAAATGCATATTCCAGTATGCACATTCCAAAGACGAACTGATTCATCCTGGTCCAATCTCAAAAAATCAGTTCTACTTAGAAAAAACGAAAATGTTGTAAGGAACAAACACTTATGATAGTTACTTTGCTAGCAGACACCACAAGAGATGGCTTTAGTGGCTAAGTCCTGATTTCATTTATTGAGTCTCCATGGCCAACAAAACTCTGCACATACAAGGGCATGTAACGAGAAAAATATGAGTTTGTGTTCTTTTCTTTTTTTTTTTTTAAATGTTATTTTCTTTTATTAATAAGAAACAGAACTAAAATTACACTAATGAAAAACTAGTACATCTTGGTTCAAGTGAAACAAAGGTAACTAATACATGCAGAAGGATGTTATTCAAAAATGTGCACCTCACACTTAAATTCAAGAGTGAAAAATCAGAATTTGTTCTATACTACTCATAGATCAACATAACTACATGAATCATTAGCCTCCTGAAAGCAACATATTCTCTTGATCTGTACAGTTAATCATTGTTGTACAGTTCCTCAAATGCCAACAGACTGTTACTTTTAGTAAACTAAAATGAGCTGCCAACAATTACTGATAGCTACTGACACAGAATAAAAGCCCTACCTTGTGAAGCTTCTCATTGATGTATACCATTGATACCTCCGGCCACTAAGAATGAGAGCTCCATCAACATTGCAAGGCCAGCTTACAGTGTAAAATGACCCGTCCTCCTGATCTACATAGCACACGGAATTCCCAAATATTCTTAGGTTCAAATATCACCGTATTGGAATCACTAATCAATCATTAAAATAGCACTAAATTCAATAAAATCAATCATTAAAATAGCACTAAATTCAATAAAATCAATCAAGATCACTGTATCTTCTTACATCTTCATCAACATAAGACTGCAATGCCGCTATAACACTGCCCTCAAGACATTGATACACAGTCGCCTGAAAAGACATCAAGCAAATATTATCACAAGAGGTGGACGACACCAGCACACAAGTAATGAGAAAACAAGAGAACACATTCATTAACATAACCTAAATGCCTAAAATGGCTAGAAGGATACCAATTTTCAGTATTACATACTCAAGAAAGCGTTTCGATAGGCGATAGCTTAAAAATTACTTCTTTAGGCTTTTCAAAGCAAAAATAAGAGCTATTAACATCATTCACAAGTTCGTAAACATTTATTCAGATATGAACAAGCTTGAAACCACTAATTAAGCGAAATTTTTTTTTTTTAATAAAAACTAAAACTTTCACAAAACCCACTTGTAGAAAACACAAAACCTTCTTCAAACAATAAAATTAGAGAGAGAAAAAAAGAAAGTTACGCGATTGCCGCCAAAGGTGGCGAAGACGTTGAAGTAGCGAGAGTCAATGAAGTTGAAAGCAACGGCATATAAGGGTCGCTTGCCTTCTTGAAGCTTGTTGGTGACTCTGTAGTCGCGTTTCTTGGAGGGAACTAGTGAACCCACCAGCGGCTCAGACCCGATCGCCGTCTTCGCCATGCTGCGCACGTTAGCACCCGCCACTGTGTGTCGATTTGTAATAAAACCCAACTTACACACTAAACCAACTTCCGAAATTTAATTTTGGTCTCATATATGTAAATATAATATATATTATAAGGTTTATTTATTTTTGTCTTTGGGTTATTACTTTATGAGTATGAATTCTTTATTATAATTAAAAGAGCAAACGACATTTTCCCATGCAAGGTTTGGCCTAATGACAATCTACCACCCAAAAAGTTTTGAAATGACACTTTCTCACCCACAAGCCAATTCCGTTAGCGAATTTCATTCTGAAGAAGGGTAAAATAGTCAAAATTCGTTACAAAAAGGGCAAGATGGTCAATTTCATGATGCTAAAAAAATCGGTTAACCGGATTTTCCCACCTCTAGTCTTTAGGTATTTTTTTTAAGAAGATTTAAACTTTGAGAGAGGCGTGGAAAAGATATCTACCTAGGGTTTCATTTTTTTCTCTTGTATTTCATGTTTTTGAAGGGTTTGAGGTTTGATTTCTCTATGGGCATGTTTGACTTATTATTTCTGCCCATATTCCCAATCCTATTCTCCAAATAATGTTTGGCACATTATTCCAGAAATATTACCCTGTTTTTTTAATTACTTTTAGACCCCATAAGGTTATTAATTTCATTAAATACCCCTTGTAAAAAAAGTTTAAAAACTAACAAAAACACTCCTGTGACACATACTTGCCAGATTCCGGCAACCACCGTTTGTGGAAGCCGGAATCTGCCACAACGATGAATTACCGACCGAAACTGGCCGGTAATTCATTGATCTGGCTGTCAGCGATGGCAAAAGATGGTCGTCGTTTTGGCCTTTTTTGGCCGTCGCAACTATAGTAGGCCGTAGATCTGGCATTTTCCGGCCAGATATAACGACGCGTTATGACACAGATCCGACCGATCTGTGTCGTAACATGATTTTTCGGCCAGATTCTGGCGGTGATGGGGGTATTTTTGTCATTTTATATATTTGGGTGTTTAATTAAATTAGTAAATACTCCCCTATTCAACTACCCAATATCATTCTCAAAATCCTATCCAAAATAATAAACCAAACGCACCCTATGTTTATGTGTAACTAATTTCTTTTCTAGGGATCCGATGTAATCTAACATGAAGGTTTTATGTTTTGATTAATTTTATTGTTCTATTAATTCAATATATTTCTAGTTTCATTCATTGCACTTAATTCGATCTTGATCTTTTGTATGAAATAAGTATGGTAAACATTATGTGCTAACTTTAAAATACAAAATAGTTGATTATGTGAGACAAGGTAAGGTAAACATCATATGCAAACCTTGACCAGCTCTTTTGAATGATTGGATTGTGTTGAGGCAAACATCAGGCTAGATACAATTTGGTTCATATTTTTAGTACTTCTTGTTCTTAATGGGTTCTTGATTGTTAGGCTTTACTAAACATCCTAGTGAGTTTAATGGTTAAAAATACTTGGTTAAACTCGAACATCAAATAGTAATACCATAATGATGGAAGACTGAACCCTAGGAATTGGATGAGACAGTAATAAATTAGTTATTAGCAGAGAATAGGATACCTAAGTTTTTCTTGCATTGGTTTTTAATTAATTTTTAATTTTGTTATTTAATTCGGTTGGTTAATAATTTATTTTGCTTCCTTAGTAATTAGTTTAATTTCTTTTGTTTAAAATTTTATTTATTTTATTTGTTTAATTAAGGCATAATATATTAGGATTAATTGAGTACTTACAAATTTCCGTGGGATCGATCCTTACTTTTATACACTAGACTACGATAGCGATTCGTGCACTTGTGAGGTATTAAAATTGTTCATCAGCTAGTCACTTTAAAAGCTACCCTGTTAGTTTGAATCTTATCTTATTTAACTTATTTTGATATTATTGCTCTTTCTGATATTAATGGGTTTTTTTTCTCATTCATAAAGGTAAATTTTATAGAAAATTATGCTAACTTGTTATATTATTCATATATTTTTTATTTATTTCACGTATTATTGATTTTAATAATTATTGACGTCATTTCACAACAATTCCCTCAACCACTAACGTAGCTATCATTGATTTTTTCCAATATTTTTGGATCTACTTCTAATATAGTAGGGACTAAAAATTAATGAAGATCACAATATGGTTCTAAATTATCGGTTAAATTCAATGATATGCCCTTTCGAGCCAACCAAATTAAATTTACGTGACAACTGTTTAGAACATAGGCATTAGAATTTATTGATCTCCCTACAGGGCGATTTTTAATCTCTTTTGTGCTTCAAATTTCTACCCATATAGGCAAAAGGAAAAAGCATTGTAGCCGAGTAGTGAGAGAACCTTAGGTACTTATTAATAATAAATATTAGGGACATCATTTATTAGTATTAGTAAACCATATAGTTATTCCATGTGCAAATTGGAATGTACTAAATGGAATATTATTCAGTCCCTGGAATAATCTTCACAGCAATACAGGATCCGTGAGCAATGCGGCCACAAGGCGCTTCATCAAATGAGAATTGGTGTAGCAATCATCTTCTTTGTATAGGAGATCAATAACGCGTGTAAGATTAAGAACCCGTTCAAGCAGAGGCATTGGAACAGCAGCTGGTTTAATAAATTCCTAATTGATATCTTTCCAAGCATCCTCAACTAGTTCGCGAAGTAATTTAACTGCCTCTTCTTCAGAAACATTATGCTGATTCATGTAGCATTCAACTGCCGAAGCAACATGCGCTCTCTTTTGCTCATCCTACACATAATAAATAATGTGGAATTGAAGAAAAAAACTCACTAATCTGAATTAGGCTTGAATGAAAAGTATGAACAAAATGATTTAATGCAATACCTTATGACCTGCAATGTCATCCATGAGTCTGCCAATTATTGAGGAGGCCTTAACGATTTTGGGGTTGCTGATTACCCAATCAAATGATTCTTGGGTTACTACATCTCCCATCCCCACAAACGATGTGGCAGCTAACGTCAGGTGACCACCGGTAAGTAATGCAACAGACAAATACTCTTCAATTGTTGGTACATATTTTTTGTCACACCATTTAGCTTCGTTGAAGTAATTTCTTACTAAAATCTTCATCTGACAAACCATAAGGAAATAGTAACAAATAGAGTTACAATTATAAATCATTTACAGGAATTTATATGCTTCAATTGCTTTTCACACTAAAAAATTAACTTCAATGAAATTTACCACATCTTTTGCGTAATCAAGGCGGTATAGTTTTCCTTTGAAGGCCATATCTTTCTCAATTTCTCCGTAAACGTCAAGGAGAGCCCCATAAGTAATTTTCATGTACTCAGGCAGTTGATGCATAGCACTGACATCCCATCTGAAAAACAAAAAATTAATAAATAAATACGAATGAGTTATGGAGATGACAATAGTAAAAATTGACGAAATAGAAGAATCAAACCTCTCAATCGCTGCAGTGAAAAGCTTAAGTTCTTCAATTGTACCGTGTACATCATAGATGTCATCAAGAATGGAAATCATGGCAATCACTTTGCACAGAATCCTCCTAGCCAACCCATAATCAGGCTCAAAATACACTCCCATTATCCAAAAGTATAACTCTACCAGTCTGTCTCTTGCAAAAGGTAGCTTATTCTCAACATCTAAAGTTTTCCACCACCTAATTAAATAACATTAGTCAGAAGCCATTTAAATAAATTTACTCAAATACAGAAAATCCTTACAATAATCTGTAGTCATTCATACCTTGTGATATCACTGAGTTCCTTCTGGTGAACTTTTTGTAATATGTTAAAATCTAATTTTGCAAAAGTTAACAGAACTTCATTGTGCAAAGAGTCTTCTTGATAGATTGTCATGTATTGTCTTGCCTCTACCCTTGGTAAGCCCTTGCGAAGAGGTTTATATAAGGCATGCTTAACGTGAGCAGCAAGTGGAGAACTGAGTTGGGTTGCCATGGACTCAAGAAGAGTGGTAGTGAAAACAAGCGCTTCATCTAGTATAGTTTCTCCGTGCACCCTGAAATGTGTGGCTTCATAAAAGCTTAAGATCCCTCGAATGTCCTCCGCAAGAGATGCCTTGAAGTCACCATTGTTGTCCTTGAACTTGTTGAAAATGTCTGCTTATTAATTCACCAACCACCACACATCACATTTAAACGATGTAGTTAAATTTGAAGAACTAAGGAATAGGTAGAAAGAACGTATACCAGAGGAAATGTTATAACCATGTTGTCTAAGTAATCGAAATTCGAGAGAGATGGAATATAAGTCATCGTTCTCATTTTGGAGACCACTGTCTTCGTGAGCCTTGTAGACTTTCTCTAAGATTTGATCGATGTAAGTTTGAAAATGGTAAGAGACCCCTAAACGCTGAATTGCGTCTACCAAGTCATGTTTCGCTGCGGGCTTGTTAACATCAGCCTTTAGCATTTTCTTAATATCTTCCCTTAGTTCCTGTAGCTTTTTCTCATCATCAGTTTCCTACATAAGCAAATCGAAGAAAAACGCGTCATTAGTAATTAATACGTGGGATTTTGTGTAGATATAAAACTATATTTTGCTCAAGTTGAGATTGGAGTATAACTTAATTATGTAAAAAAAAAAAAAAAAAAAAAACAATGCATTTAAATTAAATAAAATGCTACAAACACGTTGATGTCATTGTTCTAATATATATTATTTATAACTTTCATTATTGTTTGAATTTTTATCAGTATTAATTCGATTTCTAGCTACGTCCATGATTTTATTTTTATGGAAATCTGTTATCTATATACGCATGATAAGGAGGAAAATTGGACCGTCATAGGGCACTGATGAAGAGGAATTTAGTGGTCCGATCACGCCCATGGTGGGTGGGTTAGGGGCGATCGAGTTGATGGGATTTGATATAATAATTATGACATCACTGAAATCGACTGGATTGGCAAATATAGTATAGTGGTAATTAGTACCAACCATCTCCAAACTTGCCATATGGACGAAAATCAATGCATCAGCCATGATAATAAATAATAAAAATAAAAAACATTTTTACAGAAACAGTCGCGAGCACTTTCCAATTAAAATAGAAGAAAAAAGCAATATTTTACCACAGAGTTGGTTGCATAAGAAAGAAAATGATCCCCCCAAATGCTAGGATGATAATCTGCAGACCGGTGATTTGTGTCTTGCTTCCCATTTTTGGGTAAAGAAGCAAGTGCTGAAACGTTAAGAGACATTATGAATTTCTGTTTAGTAGTTTGGCTCCTTGTGCTTCAAGGGGTACCGTGAGTGAGTAAGAATGCCTTCTGGCTCAGTGCTATTTATAGATACACATAGCCCAAGTTATAAGAGCCAGCATGTTTTTCTCGTTGAACTCCTTTATTTTGTATATGAAAAAATCTGTCAAAAGGTTAGTGACTTAGTTAGGAACGAGGATGTGACAAAACCCTCTCCGTTTTTTTTTCTTTTTGGTAACCAAAGTGTCTAGGCCAATTTGTACGCACTTCAACTAATCTTTAAGGTCCATTGAACACTCTATAAGCTCAACTGACCAGGTAAGCTACAATGGGTGTGTTTGGTTTATTATTTTGAGTAGTATTTTTGAAATATTATTATTAAATTGAGTTAGGTTTTTATTACGAGATAGGATTTAAAATTAACAAAAAAAACCCTTAGGTTTGTTAATTTAGCCAATAATAAAACGTTTATAAATTAACAAAAACAGCTCTACTCACCCACAATTGCTAGATTTCGGCCACCACTGTCGAAATCTAGCCTAAATCTTGTTTCATTGTGCACAACTGGCCAGATCTGGCCAGTCGTGCGCTGTTATGGCCTTTTCTGACCAGATCCACCACGGATCTAGTTGGAAAAAGCCAAATCTATGGTCAAAACTAGATGTTGATGGCCAAAGATATGGTCGTCGTTGATGGTCAACGACAGCCATATAATAACTGTCATTGACGGCCAGATGTGGCCAATGATCTGGCTGTCAACAACCAGATCGGCGTAGTATCAGCAAAATCTAGCCGATAGTCTACCATTATGCTAGATTTCGGTCACCTTCCGGCGGTGATTGCCAGAATCTAACAGTGTGGGTGAGTGGGAGTGTTTTTGTCAATTTATAAGATTTTTTTGTTGCGGATGTTTAGTAAATTAACAAACCTCTAGGGGTTTAAAATAGTTGAATATTATAAGATATGATTTGAGAATAGGGAAACAAACATGCATTTTTTTTAGAATAGGAAGAGTATTTTGAAAATAGCCAAACAAACGCAGCCAATGTTATTGTGGCAGGTGACCTTAAGATTTGAACCCAGAAACTCAAGAAATAAAACAAATCTCTTTAACCGCCAAACCAACCCCTTGGGGTTAACTCTCTCTACTTTAGTCTAGCATAAGTTTATCGAAAGCATGCCACCTACAACATGAAACTTTGTGGTCATCAAATACTTGTATGTGTACAGATTCATCTTTCAAATCGTCACCTAAAGCTCTGATACTAATTAATAGCGAAATTGATGAAGTAAAGTAGAAGTTCACAAAGACAAGATAATTTAATGTGATTCAATGTGAATCTACATCCACGGGTAAAAGAGAAATAAGATACAAGAATAAAAACATACAACTCAATACCTAAATGTTAACCATATGATAAAAAGGGCGTAGATTGTAGTTCGGTAAAACATAAAGGGTCACACAGTAACTTTCCAATATGCTGTCATTTTGAGTTGACCTTTTTAGTTAATCACTTGAGCTCAAATGAGTTACTGTACTACTTTACCAATTCTTTTCTCTTTCGTGTATTCTCTTCTCTGTATATAAGAAAGTTTTTTGATTGTATTCCAGTTTTATCAATTAATACAAATCAGATCTATACTTTGTTCCTTTCTTCTTTTAATTTTCACATGGTATCAGAGCCACTAACTCGTGTCAATGGCTGAAAATTATGGTGTTGATAGCTCTTCAAAGAACGTGAATAAACTTGCGTCAATGGCTGAGCTTCACTCGTCTATCATTCCTTCAAGTCTTCAAGTACTAAATCTGAAGTTAACGAGGGACAAAGACCGCGATAACTACCGGTTCTGGTGCTCACAAGTTTTGTTCACAGTAGGAGCTCACAGATTAGAAAAGCATTTGACAAGTTTGATCCCCTGTCCTGAACCTTTACTTACCTCGCCTATTGATATTTCAACTGAATCAGGATTAATTAGTTCTAAACAAACCCTAGCTAAAGAGAAAACCAATCCTGAATATGTTGCTTGGAAACGCATTGATAAGTTTCTTGTTACCTGGTTACTGGCGTCAATATCCGAGTGTATGTTTAGCTGTGTATCTAAGTGTCAATTTTCTACCGATGTGTGGTTTACACTTGAAAAGGAGTTCTTGTCAGAGTCTAAAGCTAGGGCACTTCACCTAAAGAACTTACTTCAGAATACTCAAAAAGGTAGCCTTAGTGTTAGTGACTACATCAAGAAAATGAAAGGCATAGCTGAAAGTTTAGCATCTAGTGGACAAGTTGTTTCAGATGAAGATGTTCTTCAATATGTTCTGGATGGATTAGGTCCTGAATTTGATGCTGTTGTAGTCAATTTGACTTCCAGACTTGAGTCTAGGTTTGATTCTGTGAGTATTCAAGAAGCAAAATATCTTCAACAGAAATATGAACTAAGACTAGAGAAATTTAACTCTGTTGATTTTCCAGTAAGTTCGGTTCACATAGCTGCAGTGAGCAATTCCAGTAATTCTCATTTTAAACCTACTCATTCAAGTACTGTAAACACCTCAGTTAGCTCTACTGGAAGTCCAACTTCTCTCACACAGTTTACACCATCCCTAAACACTTTATCTAATCCCTCTTACAGACAACATTATCCTCTAGGAGCTACTATTCCCACTAAACAAACCTTTTCACCCTATACTCCTCCCCAGCTCTACTATAATATGTTAGTACCTCCCTATAGACCTGTTGTCTTTAACAAGGCTGGCAGAGGTTGTGGTAGAAGCAATGGCAGAGGGAGGCCAATATGCCAAGTTTGCAGCAAGATTGGTCACACTGTAGTACAATGTTACCACAAGTATAACCACAATTATAATGGGACCTCACCTCAATACAACTCTTCCCTACAACAACTAGGTGTTGGATCATATTTCTCTCCTGGTTCCCAAGTTCCTAACACTCTTGGACACAATTTTGCCAACAATTCCACTAGTAACATTTTGCCACAACAATTTGTCCAGTCCTCTCAGTCACATGAAGGATCACAATATCAAGGACAGTTTACTGAGACCTCTCATCAACCACAATCATAGCTCTCAACAATTTCACAACAAGGATTCCAAGTACCTAGCAAACAGCAACAAACACCTAACCAAGCCTATCTAGCTTCTCACCAGAACACACAACAACAAACAGCTAACCAAGCCTACCTAGCTTCTCACAAGAACATACAACAACAAACACCTAACCAAGCCTACCTAGCCTCTCAACAAACCTTACCTATCAGCTCCTGTCTCTCATCGGATCCTTCCTGGTATATGGACTCCGGTGCTACCGACCATGTTACTGCAGATCTTAGTCAGTTGAATGTGAGCAAAAATTATGGTGGAACTGAACAATTAAAAGTAGGCAGTGGTGAGTTTCTTGATATATCCCATGTTGGCTTTGCTTCTTTACCTAGTTTTTTACAAAATAAATGTATACATCTGAAAAATGTTTTGTGTGTACCACGAATTACTAAAAACTTGCTCAATATATCCAAATTTACTAAAGACAATAATGTTGTGGTTGAATTTAACTCTGATTGTTGCATTGTTAAGGACAAGGTTTCCAGAGCAGTTTTACTACAGGGAGAGCTTAATGCTGGGTTATATCATTTGAGATTTTCATCTGTCATTTCTCATGACACTTTAGCTTAGTTGTCTGTTCCTCTTAATGCATAAAGCATAGTTTCTGTCATCAGTCACAAACCTTAGTCTATATCTACTCTAAGAGATAAGATACTAGTCATAGTGAGTCACAAACTAGTGTCTATTCCTCTATTGTTAATGCTGCTGATAATAAGCACACAAAGTCAGTGCTGGATAGTTGTAATGTTCCTCAAATAAATAAAATCATTTCTATTCCTGATTCTGATTACTCTTTGTCTAATAATAATGTTGAATTTGTTAGTAGTATTGATAATACTTATTCTAATAATAATATCTCTAATGGCAGGTATACTGGTACTAATAGTCATATTGTTGATAATACTAATAATAAGAATGCTAGTTCTGTTGTTCCTGTAGTTTTTGATCATATTGTTCCCTCTGTTTTTAAGGCTGATAATATTAATTCTGTTAATTGTCCTAATGGTTTTGATGCTGATGGTATTAATTCTGTTGATGAACATCATGTTGTTGATAATGGTAGTAGTAATTCTGATGTCAATTTGATAACCAGCCACTTGTATACTTTAGCTCTTCAAGTCACCTATCCTAAACAAAACACTTCATCACTCTGGCATAAACAATTAGGGCATCCACATTCTGAAGTTTTTCAGAAAATTATGTTGCAAGTTAACCATAATCCTTCGAAACATATTCCTTCCATTTCCTTTTGTGATGCATGCCAACTTGGCAAAATGCACAAAAACAGTTTTCCTGTCTCTAATTCTAGAGTCACTGTTCCCTTGAACTAGTTCATAGTGACATTTGGGGTCTGTCTCCAGTAGCTTCCATTGAAGGCTTTAAGTACTACGTGCATTTCCTTGATGATTTAGCAGGTTTACCTAGCTTTTCCCTTTAAGAACCAAAGCTGAAGTGCATTGTAATGCCCCGCTTGAGGTACGTATTTAAGATTTGCTGTATTACTTAAAAGTTCATTGATTCAGTTTCAATTGAGTTTGTATATTGTATTGGTTAAGTATTTGCTTTGAAATTGGTTGAGATTTGGTGAATTTTGGAAATCCAATCTTCGCCGTGGCGATGAGGTGCTGCACCCATGGGTAGGTTCTGCCGTGTTTCGCCGGGGCGATGGAATGTTCTTCGCCGTGGCGAAGAGCCTAACAACAAGTTTCTTGAGTTTTCTAGAGAATTCTTCTTTTGGGGCATAATGACCATTCTACCCCTAATTAGTAGGAATAGTGGGGAATAAAATGTAAGGAAATTAAGTAGAGAATGTGTTGGTAATAAGGGTGTTTTTGCAAAGAATCAAAGGATATGGATGGAATTTCTAAGGAAGAGCAAGGGCAAAATGGGAAATGATGGTTATAATATGAGTTAAAAAGAGTTAAAGTGTAGAGAAACCTTTTATTCATTCATTTCCACCACCATAACCATTCTCTAACTTCTCTCAATTCTCCATCCAATCTTCCAAGATTTCCAAGGACTTTTTGAGTAGTTTTGAGTAGATTTTTAATTTAAAGCATCCTTAGGTAAGGATTCTTGCTTTAGATGAGAGTTTTAGTATATTTGGTTAAAGTCTTATGTTGTTATTGTTGTTGTTTAAAGTTGTAGAGAGAAATCAAGCTACTAAAGGAAAGGAAAAGTGTTAGAGAAGCTACTTCCTCACAAGGTAAGTAAATCCAACTAAGTTGAGTTTTGAATAAGCTTTTGAGTAGAGATTTAGAGATTGAGTAGATATGTATGCTTGTATAAGTATGTTATGTTGTTGAGAATTGAGTTGAGATGAATATGTATTATGAGAAGTGTTTTTGATGTGTGATGAGAAATGGAATTTGAGATGAAGTTTGAGAGATGTTGTGTAAACCTTTTTGGAAGTGCTTTTCTTGACAGGGATTATGGTTATATGAGGGAGTTTTCTCCCATTTTGGATGGCTAGAGAATGAAGCATAGTAGAAATTTTAGTAGAGTGTTTTTATGCACATGAGTTGCTTGATGAAATGCCTAGGTGAAATCTGCCCTGTCATTGCCGTGACTTTCTAAGTAATTTTTGGGCATCTTACGGATTGAACTGGGCTGAGACCAAAACATAGAAGTTATAGCCCTATTTCTAAGCTTTAAAACGAGACCAAAACTGTAATAATCCGAGGTGTATAATGCAAGTTATGGCCTATTTAGTGTGACCTGTGCAGAATGACGGTTTTGAGGAAATCTTGTATTTGGCATTTCATAAGTGCATTAGTGAGTATGAGCTTTCTATACACATTTGTTTATATACTCAAGAAATAGCTTGAGACATAGAAGAGAATTTGAGTATAAGCTATTTTAAGAGTTAAGAGAAAGAGAATAGAGTAGGTTGTGCGATGGGGAACCCGTGAGTGATGGGTAGAGTATTCCCACATGTACGCCGCATTGAGAGAGCGGCATGAGTATGAGATAGAGAAGTGGTGTAGCCCGTGAGAGTGCATGTGGATGAAGGCTATACCCGAGTACCCGAAAGAGAGATTATACACTCACGTGGCCAAGGGTTCCGAATCCATGCATAATCGAGTCCGATCGGCTAGAATAAGTAGAGGTCACGTAGAGTGGGAGCGAGTCCCGGCCGTGCCCCCGGTAAGATGGGGCCGTGACTTACTAAAGAGTTACTAGAAAAGAGTTCTAAGAGAAAGAGAAAGAGAAAGAGAGAGGGAAGTACCCAAAGAGAAATTGAATGAGGAATTGTAAGGAAAGAATTAGAGAGAGATAGTTACGGGGATAGATGTGTAGAGGATTTACTTACTGAGCATTAGTTGTGCTCACCCAGTTGTTTTTCATGTTTTGCAGGATCTAGGTGAGGACACGGTCGGATGGGCGTCGGCAAGCAAAGGGAAATGGCTACACTGTCCACCCTGTTTTGATGTTTTGTACATGGTACAACTTTTTGTATTTAAAGAATGTATATATTTAATAAAAGAAAAATTTGGGCCCAACCTTTTTATGTTATTTTATATGTATTTTATTATATACATGTTTTATGAGTATTTGAGTGGAAAGCGGCTATTACATGCATTTTGTCTTTGTTAAAGTTCATCATCTAGCTGAGAGACAGTTTAATCATAAACTCAAGTGTCCATAGTCTGATCAAGGTAGTGAATATAGGGGTTTAGTTCCTTACCTAACAAAGTCAGGCATTCAGTTTAAGCATTCCTGTGCTTATGTCCATCAACAAAATGGACGAAGTGAGAGAAAACATAGGCATATAGTTGAAACTGGTCTCACTCTACTGGCCCATGCTTCCATGCCTATGAATTTTTGGTGGCTTGCATTTGATACTGCTGTATTTTTAATCAATAGGATGCCATCTGCTGTTCTTGATTTTCATTGTCCTTATCAATTGCTGTTTTGTAGATTACCTCTTTATTCATCTTTAAAAGTTTTTGGATGTGCATGTTTTCCTTACCTAAGAGATTACAATAGGCATAAACTTAGTTTTCATTCATCTAAGTGTGTGTTTATAGGATATAGTCTAGTTCATAAAGGCTATAGGTGTTTAAGTCCTGAAGGTTTAATCTTTATTACTCCCAATGTCATCTTTAATGAAGATGAATTTCCTTTTGTGCACAATTTCCTTCAATCTTCAGTTTCAACTTCTGCACAGTCAACAAACATCCCTTCTAGTATTAGATTTCCCTCTTTGTCAATACCATCATCAGTGTCACCTACTGGTTTAGCAGCTCCCAGTAGTAAAGTTCCTCCAGTAGTATCATGCTTTGCATCCATTCTTCCTTCAATAGTTGGTGCACAAAATTCTTCCTCAACATCGCTTTCTCATCAATCCAAGAATGTTTCCAACAACACTTCATCTTCAGAACATGTACTAGTCACAACATCTCTTTCAACACCTTCAATATTACACCGTATCACCATTCAAAAACAATGCACCACATCACAATCTCACAGCTTAAAAAATCAGAAATCTTCACACAATCTGGAACCTTATTTCTTTCCTCTTATAGTTGACTTAACACCATCTCAATTTGTCATTACCCCCACTGATAATCCCACTACATCACAGCCTCTTATCACACAAAATCAGTCCATTACATCACAAAATTAGGAATCTTCTCACTGCCCTCTTGTAATTGATTTGACTCCATCATAGTTCCCTACTTCATCAACTGGTCTACCTACTGCCTTAACCCCTACTGAAACAGATCACTCACTGTCAACAACCTGTTCTCTACCTCTAAACACACATCCTATGTTAACTAGAGCAAAAACCAGTCTTCAACACAAAACTGCCCTTATCATATCTGGCCAAGTACCTATTCTACCTGAACCTAATTCAGTTACTAAAGGCTTGGTCAGTAATGAATGGAGAGAAGCCATGCAACTTGAATATGATGCATTGGTAAAGAATAACACTTGGTCCCTTGTTCCCAAGATGAGTGATATGCAGATTATTGGTAACAAATGGGTCTTTAGGACAAAGTTTCATGCTGATGGGTCTCTCCAAAAGTACAAAACAAAGCTGGTTGCCAAGGGGTTTCAGCAAACCCCTGGGTTGGATTTCTTTGAAACTTTCAGTCTTGTAATTAAGCCTTCAATCATCAGAATTATCCTAACCCTTTCTGTGACCAATGGATGGGACATTCAACAAGTGGATGTCAATAATGCCTTCCTAAATGGCACCCTCAATGAAACAATCTATATGAGGTAGCCTGAAGGGTTTGCAAATCCTCAATTTCCTACTCATGTTTGTAAATTAAATAAAGCCCTTTATGGACTTAAACAGGCTCCAAGAGCCTGGTTTGATAAACTGAAGTTTGCTCTTCTGGACAAAGGATTTAAAAACTCTATCTCTGATTCTAGCCTATTCATTTTCAAAAATGATTCCTACATCATCTATGTCCTTGTATATGTTGATGATATCTTAATTACTAGCTCCAATATCTCATTCATACATCAGCTTGTTCAAGATCTTAATGATTAGTTTGCCTTAAAAACTCTTGGGCCTATTAAGTACTTTCTTGGGTTGGAAGCCACAAGGACCTCTGTTGGAATTCATTTGAAGCAAACAAAATACATTGTTGATTTGCTGTCCAAAACTAAGATGATGGATGCTCATGCATGTCCCACACCCACGGCTATTGGCACAAAACTGTCTTCTACTGATAGTGAACTGTTCCAAGATCCCAGCCTCTACAGAAGCACCATTGGAGCACTTCAATACCTAACTCTAACTAGACCCAACATCAGCTTTACTGTCAATAAGCTGAGTCAGTTTTTACAAGCACCAACGGAGCTTCAATGGCAAGCTTGTAAGAGAGTTTTAAGGTATATCAAAGGTACACAGTATCATGGGTTGCAGTTCAGACCAGTTGTGTCTTTGAATGTTGAATGCTATGCTGATGTAGATTGGGGTAGCAGTTTAGATGATCGACGGTCCACAAGTGGGTACTGTGTTTATCTAGGACCTAATCTTATCCAATGGAGTTCTTGAAAACAGAGAGTTGTTGCTCTTTCTTCAACAGAAGCTGAATATAGAGCCTTAATACACACATCCACTGAAATAGCTTGGTTACAAAGTATGTTTTCTGAGTTAGGATTGATTCTGAACACTCCTCTAGTAATTTGGTGTGATAATGTCAATGCTGGTGCTCTTGCTGCAAATCCTGTTTTTCACTCAAGGACCAAGTATATTGAGATTTATATTCATTACTTCAGGGATCAGGTCTTAGCTAAGAAACTCATGGTTCAATATGTTCCGTCTAAACTAGAAATTGCTGATGTCCTTACTAAAGCCTTATCAGCAGCTCAATTCCTTGAATTAAAGGAAAAATTAAATGTTGTAGCAATGACCAGTCTAGAGATTGAAGCAAAAGCTCAGATTAAAAAGTAGCAGTTTAGCTGTAAAAATGAAGATCTGGAAGTATGAAGATCTGGAAGTAATCTGGTGTATGTGTTGTTTTTTTTTCTGGAAGTGATCTGATGTATGTGTTGTTTTGTGAGTACAGGTTTGCAATTCTGGAGGTTTGGAAGTCGTAGTTTAGTTGGTTTTTGTGAGTGTAGTTCTGAAGGCTTTGTGAGTGCAATTCTGGAGGTCTAAAGGTCTGAAGTTGTGAAAATGTTGCTTTGATGTGTACTAAGTAAGAAGCTGTTCAGTTATGAAAATGTAGGCAGCTATGCAAATGAAATTCTAAAGCTATGAAAATGAAGTTTGATGTGTGTGCAGGAGTTCTTCATTGATGTTGCAAGAGTTCTCTACTGATGTGTATTGTGTTGCTGGAAGAAATAAGAAATCTGATTAAAAAAAAAAAAATAGTAGCTATGCAAATGCAGTTTTAAGTGAAAATGCAGTTCTGAGGCTGTAAAAGTGTAGTTTTCTGCTGGTGTGTATTGTGTTGCTGAAGAAATCTAATAAGAAAAATGCAGAAAAAATGCAGTTTATGTTGCTGGAAGAAATCTGATAAGAAAAATGCAGAAAAATGCAGTTTGTGTTGCTGGAAGAAATCTGATAAGAAAAAATGTAGAAAAATGCAGTTTGTGTTGTTGGAAGAAATCTGATAAGAAAAATGTAGTTTCTTTTTGGTGTATTTCTAAAGCTGTACTGAGTTTCTGAAGCTGTATTGAGTATAAGTAGTTCTGAAGCTGTAAAATGAAGTTGATGTTGTATGTTGCTGGAAGAAAACAAGAGGCTTCAACCATATGCAAAGTAGTCCAGTTTGAGGGGAAAGGTTAACCATATGATAAAAAGGGCGCAGATTGTAGTTCGGTAAAACATAAAGGGTCACACAGTAACTTTCCAATATGCTGTCATTTTGAGTTGACCTTTTTAGTTAATCACTTGAGCTCAAATGAGCTACTGTACTACTTTACCAATTCTTTTCTCTTTTGTGTATTCTCTCCTCTGTATATAAGAGAGTTTTTTTTTTTATTGTATTCCAGTTTTATCAATTAATACAAATCAAATCTATACTTTGTTCCTTTCTTCTTTTAATTTTCACACTAAAGAGCAATTGTATCACTAAATCTTATTACTAGATATCCGCTAAAACTATGATACTTTAATTTCTAATATGAAATACATTTTAGATAGGGATTATAGTAATTATATTCCTATATATTTTGATATGTTTTGCCATAGAAAAACAAATTTAGACTCACAAGAAAATCATATAAGGAAACAAGCCAAAATCATCTACATGTTGAACTAGATGTTAAGCTTTTGTAAATTTTTTTTTTTTTTTTTTTCCTGATCTATTTGTATTTTGATTAATTTTTAGAAATTTGTTGCTTAATTTATGTGTTGACATGCAGCTATGGAAAAAAAAAATATATATATGACATTAATTCACATATCATCTGGACATAAAATGAGAATATGTCAATTATTTTCATTCTTAATTATACTAAGATATGATTTTCTCTGCTTTATTATTGAAATTGTGTCATTATTTGTAATATTTTACATCTTTATATAGTTATCACATTTTTTTGTATAAATAGGTTGTGTATTCACAACTCGATATAAGTCAATAATATTAAATTGAATTTCTCTCATATATCTCTCGGACATACTCCGGCCATTTTATCTCTTGGGACATAATCTGGCTCTCTTTAATTGCCTCCATTGTCCTCTCAATTCTGACTATATGTTCTTATCCATTAAGTATATTAATTAACATGTTGCATGGGCTAAAGAATTTAATTACGATTTTGTATAATACCATGCATCTCATCCATTTTCCTTTAAGCTTAATAGTACTTACCTTTCTAAAGCGGTATACAAGAACCCCATTAAAATCTTTCAATAATATTATATTTACAAAGAAATCTTATAAAGATTTCCATGCAAAATAAGGTCGCAAAAAATGAACAAAAGAGTGAAACAAAAAGTCAAACTCATTATATTCACTATTTCATTTGTTTTTTGTCACGTCACTTTTTATGGAGATCTTTGTAAGATTTTTTTTGTAAGTGTAACATTACTCAAAATTTTTAGCACTAGGCATATGGAAGGCTCAAACAAGTTTCAATAAATATTATATTTTTTAAACGTTGAGATCTTGGGATAGTGAAATAAGGAGTGAAACAGAGAGAGTGCACAGAAAATTTCTGGAAATTTCTGGTGTCATTCAACTAAAGAAGAGAGAGCTACAGTATAGTTTACAAAGTACAGAGAACTAACAGATATAACAAAAAATTAACAGTGAAGTAACGGAAACTACAGAACCCTAACAACAGTCTAACGGAACAGTTTTGCTTATTATTCTAACGAGGATAGAAGAACTTTATAATATACATGCACAATTACTTTTTGTCTTCCAGTTCCCACGAAGCCAAAGTTTTGTGTCCACAAATTTCGAAAAATGTGAAAAACTCTTTCGAGTTCATATTTTATTTTGCATTTACAAACATGTTAACATAGAAAAAGACTAAAAGAGGGATCGGAACTGAAAACTTATTTATATTGTTCCCACTGTTTTCATCTCACAAAACATTTTTCTTACTTCATTATTGATTTTTCGTACATAAATTTAATTTGATTTTTAAAATTAATTAAAATATTTTAGTAATAATATATTAGAAAATTATTTTTCGTCATTAATACTATACCAAATAAATTTCATTAATTTCAATTTCATAAAAAAAATATCAAATGTACTCTTAAATCTGAAAAATATGTACGAAATTTAATATCTTACATTCATATTGTTAAAAGAATTTCATAAAACAATATCTGGGATTTGTTTATTTATTTATATCAATTAAGGGTGTTTTGTAAATGACTAAAGAAGACATCCCTTGTTCTTTGTTAAAAAGTGACACGTTTTGTAATCCTTTGAAACATTGTCATAGTTAAAATCTTTTGTGTATATGCACAAAATATAGAAACAATTCATCTTCCAAATCATTCTTCTAATACCAATTTGTTTTGAAATTGTGAAACTCTGAAAGCATGTAGAATATCAAGATTAATAATACCTGAAATAAATCACAAACACTACAAGAAATAAGGTCTTTTGTTGTATCACATCCAATGTCAGGAAAGGTTTTTAATTAGAAACTAATCATTTGATCATCAAATAAATTCACTGACCTTACAAGCCAATGAAATTATATCTATATCAATGTTATTTGAACCTCCCGTGAAAATTTATTTTAATAATTTTTAATAAACTTCATTTTGAACAAAAATTCTCAGATAAAATTAATATATCTACTCATGATTTCTCAGATATTTTCCAAATTGATTCCCGTTAGTACAGTATAAGAAATGCATTGAGCTGCTTTAATAAATTTATTGACTTTATAAAAGCAATTTAATATTTTTCAAAACTATGAAAACTCAGTCAATAAAAGTACGCTGTTGGTCAACAGTTCATGATGCTAAATGAATAGAGAAGATAACCATCTAGATAGTCGAGTGATGAACTAGGGTTCTTGATTGTATTATTTAAGAGGTTTTGAGTTAAATTTATCTCGAATACTAATAAGGGTGGTTACTAAAACTCTTATCCGATTGGTAGTTTCAGAGTCCCAATGGATTAATTAAGGTGGATACAAACTGGCATAGACACTTCCCATCATTTAAAAAAAAAAAAAAAAGAGATATCCATTGTAGTTTGTTAAACATTTTTAGTTCTTCGGCCTTTACGATCAGAAGTGCAGGTGGGCTTGTTTTAATAAAACAAAATATGCTATTACTCCACAATTCATGATGCCAAGAAAGACCGGTGGGCTTGTTTTAATAAAACAAAATAGGCTATTGCTCCACAATTCATGATGCCAAGAAAGACTTTCCTGATGTTAACAAAGACTTTAAATAAAGGTCACATTGTTAACAAGATATTCTAGAAGATTTAAGCAAAGTCAAATTTGTTAATCAACATTATGAATTTGTGATGCTCACAAAAAACCGTGAACATCGTTCCTAGCACGATATTTTTCATTATTTATGTTAATCTAAACCTCATTTTTTATATTTTTCACACATAATATTTACCAAAAAGATTGTTTATTTAGAACTATCATAGGCATAAAAGAAATAATTATTATTACTGCTAAGTGATAGGATAATTTTAATAATTGTAATCTCAGGTGTCATTATGTAGATTACTTAATAAAGAAAAAACTTTTATGTACTTCATGCATATTTAAATATCTAATAGTTTAAAAGTTACTAATTTTATATAAATTAAATAATCATAACACAATAACAATATTCATCTTTCAAATCACCTCATAAAAATAAAATCAATAGATTGAAATAACATTCTCGATTATATCCTAAACCTATCATCACAAACAAATTTATTAACATTGTAAATTACAAATTTATTAAATAACTGTAAATCAATCAATTTACTAAATTTTAATTATATTCAATATTATTTTATAGTATTAATTAATTTAAAAAAAAAAACATAACTAAAATATTATAGTGTAACTACATATATAGTAAAGAGGTAATTAGTACCAACATCTCCAAACTTGTCGATAATATTCACTTTGAATTATATGAAATTAAATTACAACCCATATCTGTGTCATTAGTTTCTAGCAATACATTAATTATGTCATTAGAATTACTCTTTAAAACATTAATTTAATTTTTTCTCGTCCATAAACATAAACTTTATACGGAATTTATATTAGATTATAATATTATTTAAGTGATTTTTGGTTTAATTCATTTCTCGTTGACCTCGTTATTTGCAGTGGATCACAACAAATGCCTCAACCACTCACGTATCTATCATCGTTGTCTTCCAAAAGTATTGGCCATTGTCCAGAAACTGATGACCACGCAATATAATAAACATGGGGTCTAAATTATTTATGTACAACGTTGTGCACATTTCAAATCTCTGGCCACATATTTTAATTGTGTATGGATCCGTGAGATCTCTAAAGCCCAATTAGCTGAATTTAAATTCACTCATCAGACCTTACAGGCCAACCAAATTAAATCCACAAGTGATAAGAGTAAATATTACTTCAACTCCTTGTTATTAGACCTGTCTTTTGGGTGGCTTGAGTTCTAACCAATGTTTTAAAACCTAACCCGACCCGGCTTGGCCAATTCAACTGGTTCAACTGGGACCCTAGGCTTTCACTGGGCTTGATTACCTGTTTCACTATTCACTAAAAACCCTAAAAATTGCAATGATAATCGGCGAACAATCGAAGGTCAAACAGGTGGTGGGTGACGATGAATCAACAAGGTTGGAGTGATGGGGAGTGGCTGGCGACTAGAAAAACAAAACCACAACAGCAACACAAACACTTCCAAATAGCAACCCCCTGATCAAAGACCAAACAACCAACAAAACTCGAAAGAAAAGGTCTTTTCCAGCCATCGACGACAACATTTGGCCAGAAAATGCCAGATCTAAGGCCAAATGTTGCCGTTGATGGCTGGAAAAAGCCAAAGAAGTCCATCTTTGGCTGTCGTTGATCGTCAACGACGGCCATTTCTTCTAGCCTTTTCCGACCAGATCCGTGATGGATCTGATCGAAAAAGGCCAGATCGGTGAACTACCGGCCAGTTATGGTCGTGGTATAGGCCGTTGTATAGATTTCGGCTACCACCAACGGTGGTTGCCGGAATCTGGCAAGTATAGGTTGATGGGGGTATTTTTGTTAACTTTTAAACTTTTTTCTAAGAGTATTTAGTAAAATTAATAAACTTAAGAGGTCTAAAAGTAATTAAAAAAATATAGTAATATTTCTAAAATAATGTGCCAAACAATATTTGAGGAATATGATTGGGAATATGGATATAAATACTGAACGAACGCACACTAAATGTTTGTCATTTTCAAACTTTAATATTAAGTTGTGATATGATTGATGTGATGTCTAAAACAAATAAGCATATACACTAAGTTAAGTATAGATTGTTGTGTTGGATTATATGGACTGAATTATTACTGGTTAATATGCAAGTACTGAAGTTTATATATACTTGGAATTAATTGATCTCCCTACAAGGCGATTTTGAATATCTTTTATACTTCAAATTTCTACCCATATAGGCAAAAGGAAAAAGGATTCTAGCCGAGTAGTGAATGAACCTTAGATACATATTAATAATAAATATTAGGGACATTATTTATTAGTATTAATAAACCATAGAGTTATTCCATGTGCAAATTGGAATGTACTAAATGGAATATTATTCAGTCCCTGGAATAATCTTCACAGCAGTACAGGATCCGTGAGCAATGGGGCCACAAGGCGCTTCATCAAATGAGAATTGGTGTAGCAATCATCTTCTTTGTATAGGAGATCAATAACGCGTGTAAGATTAAGAACCCGTTCAAGCAGAGGCATTGGAACAGCAGCTGGTTTAATAAATTCCTCAATGATATCTTTCCAAGCATCCTCAACTAGTTCGCGAAGTAATTTAACTGCCTCTTCTTCAGAAACATTATGCTGATTCAAGTAGCATTCAACTGCTGAAGCAACATGCGCTCTCTTTTGCTCATCCTACACATAATAAATAATGCGGAATTGAAGAAAAAAAACTCACTAATCTGAATTAGGCTTGAATGAAAAGTAGGAACAAAATGATTTAATGCAATACCTTGTGACCTGCAATGTCATTCATGAGTCTGCCAATTATTGCGGAGGCCTTAACGATTTTGGGGTTGCTGAGTACCCATTCAAATGATTCTTGGGTTACTACATCTCCCATCCCCACAAATGATGTGGCAGCTAACGTTAGGTGACAACTGGTAAGTAATGCAACAGACAAATACTCTTCAATTGTTGGTACATATTTTTTGTCACACCATTTAGCTTCGTTGAAGTAATCTATTACTAAAATCTTAATCTGACAAACCATAAGGAAATAGTAACAAATTGTGTTACAATTATAAATCATTTACAGGAATTTATATGCTTCAATTGCTTTTCACACTAAAAAATTAACTTCAATGAAATTTACCACATCTTTTGCGTAATCAAGGCGGTATAGTTTTCCTTTGAAGGCCATATCTTTCTCAATTTCTCCGTAAACGTCAAGGAGAGCCCCATAAGTAATTTTCATATACTCTGGCAGTTGATGCATAGCACTGACATCTCATCTGAAAAACAAAAAATTAATAAATAAATACGAATGAGTTATGGAGATGACAACAATAAAAATTGAGGAAATAGAAGAATCAAAACTCTCAGTTTCTGTAGTGAAAAGCTCAAGTTCTTCAATTGTACCGTGTACATCATAGATGTCATCAAGGATGGAACACATGGCATTCACTTTGGACAGAATCCTCCTAGCATACCCATAATCAGGCTCAAAATACACTCCCATTATCCAAAAGTATAACTCTACCAGTCTGTCTCTTGCAAAAGGTAGCTTATTCTCAACATCTAAAGTTTTCCACCACCTAATTAAATAACATTAGTCAGAAGCCATTTAAATAAATTTACACAAATACAGAAAATCCTTACAATAATCTGTAGTCATTCATACCTTGTGATATCACTGAGTTCCTTCTGGTGAACTTTTTGTAATATGTTAAAATCTAATTTTGCAAAAGTTAACAGAACTTCATTGTGCAAAGAGTCTTCTTGATAGATTGTCATGTATTGATTTGCCTCCAGCCTTGGTAAGCCCTTGCGAAGGGGTTGATATAAGGCATGCTTAAAGTGAGCTAGCGCTGCAAGTGGAGAACTGAGTTGGGTTGCCATGGACTTATGAAGAGTGGTAGTGAAAACAAACGCTTCATCTAGTATAGTTTCTCCGTGCACCCTGAAATGTGTGGCTTCATAAAAGCTTAAGATTCCTCCAATGTCCTCCGCAAGAGATGCCTTGAAGTCACCATTGTTGTCCTTGAACTTGTTGAAAATGTCTGCTTATTAATTCACCAACCGCCACACATCACATTTAAACGATGTAGTTAAATTTAAAGAACTAAGGAATAGGTAGAAAGAATGTATACCAGAGGAAATGTTATAACAATGTTGTCTTAAGTAATCGAAATTCTAGAGAGGTGGAATATAAGTCATCGTTCTCATTTTGGAGACCACTGTCTTCGTCAGCCTTGTAGACTTTCTCTAAGATTTGATCGATGTAAGTTTGAAAATGGCAAGACACCCCTAAACGCTGAATTGTGTCAACCAAGTCAAGTTTCTCTGCGGGCTTGTCAACGTCAGCCTTTAGCATTTTCTTAATATCTTCCCTTAGTTCCTGTAGCTTTCTCATCATCAGTTTCGTACATAAGCAAATCCAAGTAAAACGCGTCATTAGTAATTAATTCGTAGGATTTTGTGTAGATATAAAAATATATTTTGCTCAAGTTTAGATTGGAGTATAACTTAATTATGTACAAGCATAGAAGTAAAAAAAAAAAAAACAATGCTACAAACACGTTGATGTCTTTGTTCTAATATATATTATTTATGACTTTCATTATTGTTTGAATTTTTATCAGTATTAATTCGATTCCTAGCTACGTCCATGATTTTATTTTTATGGAAATCTGTTATCTATATACGATGGATAAGGAGGAAAATTGGGCTGTCATAGGGCACTTATGAACAGGGCCAGCTCAAGGACTAGGCAGGTGAGAGCCCAAAAAAATAGGGTAAAAAAATGTTTAAGCTCAAATTTATTATAAACTTTTTACATATATTTTCACCTAAAGTTTGATGAAATAGTAAGTTTGTACCTTTAATTTTATATATTCAAATTTACACCCTTAAATTAACACATTAAATTTCTTTTAACAATAAAATGTTAGTATAAGAAAGAAAATGATCCCCCCAAATGCTAGGGTGATAATTTGCAGAGCGATGATTTGTGTCTTGGTTAGTTGCTTCCCATTTTTGGATAAAGAAGGAAGTGCTGAAACGTTAAGAGAGATTATGAATTTCCGTTTAGTAGTTTGGCTTCTTGTGCTTCAAGGGGTACAGTGAGTGAGTAAGAATGCCCTCTAGCTCGTGCTATTTATAGATACACATAGCCCAAGTTACAATAGCCAGCATGTTTTTCTCGTTCAACTCATTTATTTCGTATATCAAAAAATCTATGTCAAAAAGTTAGTGACTGAGTTAGGAACTAGGATGTGACAAAACTCTATGCACTTCAACTAATTCTTGAGGTCCATTGAACATCTTATGAGCCTAATAAATCAGGTAAGTCACAATGTTATTGTAATAAGTGGTCCCAATGTTTGAACCCAAAAATTTAAGGAAGGAAGCAAATCTCTTTGACCGTCAGACCAACCTTTGAGGTTAACTCTTTCCACTTTAATCTAGCATAAGTTTATCAGAAGTACACCACCTACAACATGAAACTTTGTGGTCATCAAATACTTGTATGTGTACATATTCATTTTTCAAATCATCACCTAAAGCTCTAATACAAATTTATAGCGAAATTGATGGAGTAAATTAGAAGTACACAAAGACAAGATAGTTTAATGCGATTCAATGTGAAATCTACATTCACCTGTAAAAGAGAAATTCTCTAATTTCACAAAGATACAAGAATAAAAACATACAACTCGATACCCTAAAGAGCAATTGTATCACTGAATCTTATTACTAGATATCCTCCAAAACTATGATACTTTAATTTCAAATATGAAATACATTTTAGATAGGAATAATAGTAATTATATTCCTATATAGTTTGATATGTTTTGCTGTAGAGATACAAATTTAGACTCACAAGAAAATCATATAAGGAAACAAGCCAAAATCATGTACATGTTCAACTAGATATAAAGCTTTTGTAAATGTTTTTTTTTTTTTTTCCTGATCTATTTGCATTTTGATTGATTTGTAAATTTTTTTTTGCTTAATATAGATGTTGACATGCAAATATGAGAAGAACATATGTGACATTAATTCACATATCATCTGGACATAAAATGAGAATATGTGACTTATTTTCATTCCTAATTATACTAAGATATGATTTTCTCTGCTTTATTGTTGAGATTGTATCATTATTTGTAATAATTTATATCCTTATACAACTATCACACTTTTAGTATAAATAAGTTGTGTATTCACAACTCAATACAATTAAATTGAATTTCTCTCAGATATCTCTTGGCCATACTTCGACCATTTCAGTTGTCTCTCTTGCCCTTTCAAAGATATTTCTCGAACATACTCCGGCTCTCTTCAGTTGCCGCTATTGCCCTCTCAATTCTGACAATAAGTTCTTATCTATTAAGTATATTAATTAGCATGTTGCATGGGTTAAAGAATTTAATTTCGATTTTGTATAATATCATGTATCTCATCCATTTTCCTTTAAGCTTTATAGTAGTTACCTTTCTAAAGGGGTATAAAAGAAGGATAATACTATACGTACAAAGAAATTTACAAAGATTTCTAATATAAAGTGATGTGATTATTTACTCTTCCATTCATCTCCTGCAACATCACTTTGTATAAGAAATCTTTGTAAATTTCTTTATACGTCTAAAATTATTGATACAAAACACTATTAAAATCTTATAATAATATTATGCTTACAAAGAAATCGTACAAAAATTTCCATACAAAGTGAGGTGGTAAAAAATGAATGGAAGAGTGAAACAAAAAGTAAAACTCATTATATTCACTCTTCCATTCATTTTTGTCACGTCACTTTGTATGGAAATCTTTGTAAGATTTCCATATAATTATAGCATTACTCAAAATCTTTGGTATTAGCATATGGATGGCACAAACAAGTTTCAATAAATATTCTATTCTTCAAAAGTTCTGATCTTGGGATAGTGAAACAAGGAGTGAAACATGTTGACCAAAGCTAAAAAGAATGAAAGTAGGTAAAGTTGTAAATTCCACTTTCTTGTAACGATGTCGTTTTGACTCTCTCTTATTTCATATAAAAGAGAGCAGTCTTCTCTTTGTATCAGTTAGTAAAATCAGAAACAAAAACACTATTACACATATTTGCTCTTCTCCTTTTTCGTTTTCTCTTTGAATCTCTCATGATATCAGAGTTGAAGACTCACATCTACAGCTAAGAATCCTGCCTTTTCGTTTCAAAAAGGTGCTATGGAGAAACTGGTGAATCTCAGCTCAGCTCAGTCTTCAATTTTTTCGTCTACTCTGCAAGTAATCACACCGAAACTGACCATAGACAACTACAAGGACAACTATAGGTTCTGGCGTTCTCAAGTTCTCTCCGCCGTTGGAGCTCATGAACTGAAAGACCATCTCACAGGTTCAATTCCACGTCCTGATCCTATAATTGTCTCTGATAATGATAGCTCAACTCAATCAAGTGAAACCCTAACTAAGGAAAAAATCAATCCAGCTTATGTAGCCTGGAAGAAGACTGATAAATTTCTTGTTACTTGGCTTCTTGCGTCAATTTCTGAGTGTATGTTTAGTAACATCTCTAAATGTCAATTTGCCACTGAAATTTGGTATAATCTTGAACATGAGTTTGTTACTGACTCCAAAGCAAGAGCACTTCACCTAAGGAATTTACTTCAGACTACTCAGAAAGGAAGTATGAGTGTTAGTGAGTTTGTTAAGAAAATGAAAAGTTTTGCTGAAAGTCTGTCGGGAAGTGATCAAGTGATAAGTGATGAAGATCTACTTCCATATATGTTGGATGGCCTTGGGCCAGAGTTTGATGCAACCATGGTCCATCTAACATCTCAGATTGAGTCTAAGTTTGACTCAGTGTCTCTGCAAGAAGCTCAATTTCTGCTCCAGAAATATGAGATGAGACTGGAGAAGTTTAATAGTGTTGATTTTCCAAATAGTTTAGTGCATATGGCATCTCTCAATAATCCTAATGCTTCATCGTTGCTGCCTATTGGTACAAAAGGATCTCTAAATCCTAATGATGGTGCTAGAGGTCTCCACACAATGCACATGTACCTGTTTTGACGAATACTCTGCCTCTAGCACCAGTTCATTCTTCACCAAATTATTCATCAGCTTACTCAACTTATCCATCAGCACCAACTGTTTATTCTACACCAACTTATCTAGCCTATTCCTTTCCTGTTACACACAATGATTCACTTTTCCCCTCTGCACAGTAGAGTCAATTTGGAGGACCTATTGGTGCTGCCTTTCCAGTTTACAGAGCATTTGGTTATAACTCCTTTGGCAAAGGTCGAGGCAGAGGTGCTGGCAGAGGCAAACCAGCGTGTCAAGTATGCAGCAAAGTTGGCCACACAACAGCATAATGTTATCATAGGTACAATTCAACCTATAATGGGGTTCCACCTACTCAATCTCAGTTTGGCACTCCTGCTCAGTCTTAGTTTGGTGCCCCAACAACTTAGTATGGAGGTCCTCATCCTTAATTTACACATTATGGGGATCCTAGTTCTCGCTCAAGTTTTGGACTTCCTGGAGATGTTTCATTTGGGAACAATCTGTCTCATGGATAATGACCTCATGGTGTATCTTTCTCCTACACTCAACATCAACCTTTATCACAGCCTAGCCTTCTTGTTCCAAGCCAACAACTAAACTCGCCCACTTCTAATCAAGCCTACTTTGTATCTCATCAAAATCCTTCACCAGCTGTCAACTCTCTCGTGCCTATGCCTATTTCAACCAACATACCACCAGATCCAACCTGGTACATAGATTCAGGAGCTATCGATCATGTTACTTCTAATCCCCATCACCTGGTAGCCAGCAGAAACTATGATGGTACTGATCAATTATAGGTCGGCAGTGGTGAGTCTCTTAATATCTCCCATGTTGGTTTTTCTTTATTACCTAGTGCTTTACACTCTAAATGCTTGTATTTAAAAAATGTTCTATGTGTACCTAGAATAACTAAAAACCTTCTTAGTATCTCAAAATTTACAAAAGACAATAATGTGGTAGTAGAATTTAACTCTAACTGCTGTCTTGTTAAGGACAAGGATACCAGAACAGTGCTTCTGCAGGGAGGTCTTAAAGCTAGCTTGTATCAGTTGCACGTTCCTTCTAATTTGCCATCTTCTCCTATTCATGTTCATAATTCACCTAAGCATATTGAGCAACTAGCTCCTAACAGTCTTTATCCTCAAGTCTTTAATTATGTACTAGATAACATGAATCTTACCTCTAGTGTCATTCCTGAATGCACATTGCCAATTACTGGTGATAATTGTAACTTGGGAACCTTTGATAATGTCTCTAGTTGTAATTCCAATTCAATAAATAAAACTGTTCCTGATCACAATGTTGTCAATAATAATTCTGATTGCAATCCTGATGATTGTCTTGTGTTACATTCTGAATTGTCCAATGTTCATGCTAATC